ATCATTGGCTCTTGATCATATGCTACCTCTTGAAATGGTTGAACAGTAATCATTTCCTTTTGGTACAGTGACTCTGTATTCCTTCCGTCTTCTCTTGATGCTTTCTGCATCATTCAATAATTTGCGCAGAGAATCTTTTAATAATGAAAGTCAAGTCTTGAATTTTTTCTTCAATTCCCCCAGCTTGAGAAATGTTGAGCGTGTTCTTACTTTTTGGTTTTCTGATTCCAAATCTTTGCACATTTTATTATAATATTTGGCTTTATCTTCTCGAGCTGATCTTTGAAATTTTCTGTTCAGTTCTTGGACCTCCTCATTTCTTCCATTTGCTTTAGCATCTCTACGCTGGAGTTTCAGAGTCTCTTCTGACATCCATTTTGACCTTTTCCTTCTTTCTTGTCTTCTTAATGACTTTTTGCTCTCTTCACGTATGATTGTTCTTGATGTCATCCCACAACTCTTCTGGTCTTCGCTCTTTAGTGTTTAATGTATTAAATCTGTTCTTCAGATGATCTCTAAATTCAGGTGAGATATATTCAAGATATATCCAGAGATGCTGCTAAATACCCTACAATGCACACCACAGCCCTTACAACAAAGAATTACCAGCCCCCAAAGGTCAATAGTGAGTAGGCTAGTATCAGGGCCTGACTCGGCCACATCAGCCTAGCCTGGGACCTTGTTAGAAATGCAGAATTTCTCACCCCACCCCAGAACCACTCATTCCAACTCGGCATTTTCACAAGCTCCCACGTGATGCAAGTACACATTCAAGTCTGAAAAGTGCTCCTTTAGGTGAGCCCTCCTGTCCATCCCTTTTGGGTGGTCTTGGATGCCAAGGACCTGTGAAAAGGGTGGGTAGGGGTTATTCGTCTCACCTGCTGACCTGCTTATGGGTGTCATTTGTCCCTAGGTGTCTTGTCACCGTGTTCTGGGCATCCACGACTCCTGCGGCATGCACTATACCTTCGCCTTGCCAGGTCTGCTTGGAGGGATCACCAACGTTGTGCTGAGGATGCTTAAGGTCTCCTGGACCAAGGATCTTATGTGGGTCACTTGGCTCACCCCTTGGCACCCCATCCAACTCAGGAAGAAATGTGCCTGATCCTTTAGCTGGGAAGCATACATTCAGGGCCAGACACCCAGTAGATTCACAACAAATAACTATTGGACTATTGGTTCAGAAATCCTTCTCAGTTCCTACCAGGTGTAGCGTCATCACCTGATGAGGTCACTTCTTCTTTCCAAAGAGGGGCTTGGGTGCAGGGCAAAAGCAAAGAGTCCCGAGGCTGCCCAAAATGCAGACAGAGCAGGCCAATCAGGACTAAGCAAGTTGAGTCCGTGTTTCAGCCAGTTGCGTTTACATTACTGTTGAGAGTATGTTGCGGAGTCAGGCTGCTCTTGAAACCCGGTTCCATCATTTACCGGCTGGACAAGCTACTTAACCTGTCTGAACCTCAGTTTCCCAACTGTAAACAAAGATAATGATAGTGCCTCTCCTTACAGAGTTGCAGCGAGGAGACATTTGTTAATATTTTATTGAGCCTCTATCTGATGGCAGGCCCCATGTGGTTACAAGGAAAATGTTCTTAGTGTAAGGAAAATGCTAAGCACAGCCCAATCCCATTCTTTTACATCAAGTCTCAGGGAGAGAGGGTTTGACCATGCAGTCTCACTATGAGGAAGTAGCAGAGGAGGGATAGAGAAACATAGGCCTCTGGACCAGTGTTAAGTCCTGGGGGTCTCTCAGACAATGGATGGCAAACATCAGTTTGCCATACCAGGTCATTTCCTCCTGGAGGTGATGTGAGTACCTTCTGGATGTAGCTCAGATCAAATCAAAGTGTGACTTGGGCACCAACTAGGAAAAATGAGCTGACATCGTCATAATAGTATAATTGATAATCACTAGTCTCATTGACTGCTAAGTGCTGAGAACATAGCATATATTATCTCATTTAATTCTCACAACCATACTGTGAGGTAAGTGTCATTATCACACCCTGAGAAATTATATTTAGGGGAGATCACCTGCCTCAGATCACCCAGTTGTAACCAGTCTGTAAAGATGGGGAGTACCTGAAATGGATGATGAGGTACTCTTAGTGTTTGGAAGCATCTCAGAGAAAAAATTATGGAGAGCTGGGGTCATTCTAGGCTCTTGAGCCCCTTCCAGCTCTAACATTAGAGACACCCATCATCTCAAGTTGTAGGCATCATATCTGTATATGTAAACATCCTTCCTTGGCTGTTTGGGGTGGGTGAGGAGAATCCTCTTTAAGGGTGAGGAGGCAAGGCCTCTCGGTACTGGGTCCCAGTGATGTATCTGCCACAATTGTAATAGCCAGGCAGTTCTGGGGAAATCTTTTCATCTTCTTGGGCCTTGACTGCCCATCTCTGAAACAAGAGGTTATCTAGCCAGTGAGAAAAGAAGGGGAAGACCTACACAGTTGTTCCTCCTCAGCTCCAGGCATCCACTACTGTCAGGGACCCAGGCTCAGTGTCACCTGGTCTAATCCTGTTTCAAGAGAAGCCAGAAATCCGGAGTCATGCATGTCCTCCCTCAATCTCTAAGCATTGACATAAACTTTCAAATCTTTTAAGAAATGCTTTGTGGAACAACTTCTGTTCATTGGACTGCTAGTATGCAGTCTCTGGACCACCTACCTATCTAGATCCCAAATTCTGTGATTCTGTAGTTTTCCTAAAACAATGGTTCTCAGCAACATCAGCATCACTTGGGAGTTTGTTAGAAATACAAGCCCTTGGTCCCCACTCCAGACCTACTCAGTCAGAAATCTGGGCCTGGGACCCAGCAGTCTGTGTTTTGAGAAGCCCTCCAGGTTAATTCTCATGTTAGTCCAAGTTTGAGAACCACTTACCTAGAGTAAAAAACAAAAAATGTTGATGAGTGGTGTGTTGGTAAATAATCAGCAACCAGCTCTCCAGGAAAATGAAGCCTGACTTGTGGCATTTTCCAATGTCCATGGTGTAAATACACCCACTGTGGCTGATTTCAAGCTATCAACATAACATCACCGAACACGGAATTGGGAAGGGATGAGCACCATCCGCTCTCTGGAGCCTATGTGAGCTAACTCAAGCACACCTCTGCAAGCCAGTTCTCATCAGGATGAATTAGTCGAGGACCAAGAATTAGTTACCCTCTCTCTTCTGCAAGGACCTGGCAAGGGGAAAACCTTTGGGCAAAAGCTTCCGGGACAGACAGACCAAGGTCACAGTTAGGCATGGTACTCAAACCCTCTTCTTAAGTCTCAGTTTTTTATCTGTAAAATGGGAGGAGAGTATCTATGTCACAGGGCTGTTGTAAGGATTTAGCTTGTAATATAAAGCGCTCAGGAAAGTAAATACCCATTACATGGTTCCCTTCTTTATGATGACGGTTGATGCTCCTGAATATAGTGGAAAGAATGCATCTCCCAGAAAGAAGCTCTCAATCAGAACGCTTACTCTCTATGTCAGGGGAATTGTCAGTATTTGCTGATGACCTGTTTACAGGAGCGTATGGAAGAGTATGTTTCACAAGCATTGCAGCAGTTCCTCCTTGTCCAGTCCTCAATCCCTTGATTATATCAGGGAGAAAGTTTCCACTTGATACTTAGTCTCTGAACCCTGCTAACCAGTCGTTGGAAAGTCAATCCTAACCCATGGTGACTCCCTGCGTGTCACCCATTGGGTTTTCAATGGCTGGTTTTTCAGAAGTGAATCACTAGGCCTTTTACCTGCGGTGCCTCTGGGTAGACTTGAACTTGCAGCCTTTCAGTTAGTAGCTGTTTGCACCACCCAGGGACTCCTGCCCTTCTCTAACTCCTGCTGATCTCCCTTTGACAGCAGCTGAGGAGGCCTTTGAGCTGCCACAGCTGGGAAGAATTTAGTCCAGTTTCATTTTCATTATAGCTGTTTATACAGTTGCTTTCCATTTCTCTTCTATTTATACAAGTAACACGAGTCTCCTTTTTAAACACATTGATTTACAGTTTTTAAACGTCTATTAATGAAAAATATTAAGTGGGGGGGAAAAAAAAGTATCCCTGGATTGTTGTTATGGATGTTAATTGTCAACATTAGGGAAGCACCTGGTGGAGTTTGGAGTGAGACAGGCCTGCTTTGAATCCTAAGCTCCACCCATTGCAAGCCACATGACCTTGGAACACTTGGTTCCCTTTCTTAACCTTGGCTTTCCCATCTGTGACACAGGGACACTAACAGCCCACTCACAGGACTGTTGTAAGGGGCATGAGACATTTTACAAACCAGCTTCCTCTGTCCAACTATCCACAGAGCTAAACTAGAAGGGCTGGCAGTGCCCAGGTGCACACTGGGTGAAAACTACCCCACATCCCATGGCCCTCCTAATGGTTTTTGAATTCATGGTTTTGGCGAGAAGGCGAGAGGAAAGAGAAAATTGTTCAAGGAACTTGAGGGTGTGGGTAGGCGGAGAAGATAGGGCTGATAGATAAGCTTTTCCTAATGTAAATAAAGCTGTCAGCTTTAATTTCCTAGCGAGGACCCTGGGGGCTCTGAGTTCTGACTTGTTTAGAATCACACAGTTAGGAAGTTACTGAGCTGGGACTTGAACTAGGGTTTTCTGGTGCCTGGTCTAGTTCATTTACCCTGGAGCCTGAGGACTGAAATAAGCCTAAGTTCCTGGAATTCCCTTTCCCCCCCCACATGTCTGCATGTGTTTTTTTTTGGGGGGGGGGGAAGAGAGTGTGGTGGGGAGAATGACAAGGAATGAGCTAGCTGGGGAGGATAGACTTGTTCTCCTGAAGGTTCTTCCTGACAGTATCTTTGATGACGATACCCAAACAGTCCTTCAGGTCCCAGATGACCTCTGAAGCCTGGCACCTGAGTGTGACCCCTCTGTTTTGTCATTTCCAGGATCAGCTACCAGGTGCTCCATGACACCGGGGGACTCAGCTTGATCGTGGCTACCGGTCTGGCATTTGGTTTCCTGACAGGTTAGTGTCTGGACCCACAGTGCACAGGCGCACCTATCCCCTGCTCCTCTGCCCTGAGAACACACCACCTCAGCTCCCTCCAAATGATGCAAAGGGCTTCAACCTTTGATTAGAAGGGGCGGGGAAAATCAGACTCACACAAGTTCTGAATTGGAAAGGTCCTCAGCAGTCACCTGTTTCAGATGTGGACTCTGAAGTCAAGGGAAGGGAAAAGACTCCCTGAGGTTCTAAGTTGGGCTGAGTGGACAAGTGGCAAGTGGCAGTGCAGCCTCTTAAGCCCGGGCTGGTGAATTTACTCAGGTCTGTATAGGCCAAGAAAACCTGAATGCCACAAAATCCTACCTTTTATTTCCTGAGGACACCCATAAAACCAGTTGTTGGTGACTCAGTTTGGACTCATGGTGACCTCATATGTATCAGAGTAGAACTACACAGAGTTTTCAGTGGCTAATTATTTGGAAATAGATTGCCAGACATTTCTTCTGAGGTGCTTCCAGGTAAATGCAAACCTCTAAACTTTTGGTTAACAGCCAGGTATGTTACCCATTTGTACCACCCAGGAATTTCTGAGAATACCCATAATATTATTTTATTCAATGTTCAGTGTGTACTATGAGCCAAGCACTGTTCTAGGCACTGGGGAGACAGCAGTGAACAAAGCAAATTCCTCAGGGGACTGACATTCTAGTAAGGGGCGTTGACAGTAAATAGACAAATTAATATATGTTATGTAAGAAGTCGGAACTGAATCCATGGTACTTAACAACAACAACAACAACATGTAAGAAGGATTCCTGATCAGCAGTTCAATCTCACCAGCAGCTCCTTGGAAACTCTATACAGAGTCACTAGGAGTTGGAACCGACTCGATGGCACTAAGCAAATAACAAATGTAAGAATGGTAGATACATGCTAGGGAGAACATGAAAGCAGGGTAGCAGAACATAGTCATAATGTTCCTGGGCAGGTAGGGAGGATACTCTTTTAGATGGATGGATATTCATGGATATTCATATTCAGAGATAACCTAGCTGATAAGCAGACCTTTTTAAGCAAAGGCCCTAAGGCGTCCTGGTAGCATAGTGGGTTAAGTGTTAGACTGCTAACCACCAAGGCCCTAAGGCATCCTGCTAGCATAGTGGGTGAAGTATTAGTCAGCAGTTCGAATCCACCAGTTTCTCTGTGGGAGAAAGATGAATTTTCTATTCCCATAAAGATTTACAGCCTTGGGAGCCTTCCCCAGGGTTACCATGAGGCAGAACCAACTTGATGGCATGCAGCAGCAGAAGACAAGGAGAGGAGGACAGCATGCCATGCACTTATTGGAAGAAAGAGTGGTGCATGAAAAGGGAGCACCAAGTGCAAAGGCCCTGGGGCAGGAGCAACTGTGCATGTTTGGGGAACAGCAAGGAGGTCTACATGAAGGCTGTGGATGGAGTGATGGGAGAGTGGCCGGGGCTGAGAGCTGAGTGGTTAAAGGGAGCAAAGTCATTTTCAGAGCTGGGAGGGCATTGGAGATGTTTAACAAAGGAGTAAAGTATATTTTTGTGCTGGCAAGATGATACAACAGCAAAGAATCTTGAGGAGTTCCTAATGAAAATCTGTATTCTGTCCAAAACTCTTCATTTATATTCTACAACAAATTTTTAACTGGTTGCTGTTGCTAAGTGTCATCAAGGCATTCTAATCCATAGTGACCCTGTATTGGATTTCTGAGGAGCAGCTGGTAATGGTAAGTTTGAACCACCAACCTTGTGGTCAAGTGTTTATCCTACAGCACCACACCAGAACTCCTTTTACTGGTTGGTGATGGTAGTGGTAGTGTGCCGTGGAGTCAGTTCTGACTCACAGCGACCCTGTACAAGGTTGCCGAGGCTGTAAATCTTTACAGAAACAGAAAGCCTCATGCTTCCCCTGCAGAACAGCTGGTCGTTTTGAACTGCTGACCTTGAGGTTAGCAGCCCGACTCATAAACACTATGTATGCTACCAGAGCTCCTGTTTCACTGGCTAGACACCCACATACTGTGTCTCTAAGCTGTGGGTAGATGTGAAAAAAAGAGAAACTGGTTGTTCGTGGTGGTGGCTCTGTGCTGTGGAGTCACTTCCAACTCATAGTGACCCTATATAGAGTTTTCAAGGCTGTAAATCTTTACAGGAATGGAAAGCCTCCTCAGTCTCCCGGGAAGCGACTAGTAGATTTGAACTGCTGACTTTGCAGTTAGCAGCTCAGCTCGTAACCACTATGCTACCAGGGTTCCTACAAACTAGCATAGTGGACATCAACGATTTGTGTGACCCTGGGCACATCACTTGCCTCTCGCTAGAGCTCCATTGGTTTCTCTGTAAAATAAAAAGGTTGCAGATATGAATCTTTTGACTTGCTTCCAGCTCTAAAAAATGTATGAAGGCACTTTTTGGAGTCACCTGGATAATTTTAGAATAAGATTAGCTAGAATTGGTTTAAATATACTAGTTGGCTTCAGCTTTCCAATAGTTGTTGTCAGGCACCATCGAGTGGGAACCGACTCATAGCGACCCCATGCACAGCAGAACGAAACAATGTCCGATCCTGGACCAACCTCACTACCGCTGCCACACTTGACGCCATCAATGATGTCACCTGGCTGATCCATCTCGTTGGGGGTCTTCCTCTTTCTCTCTGACCCTCCACCCTACCCAGCATGACATCCTTCTCCAACGATTGTTCTCTCTGGACAATGTGTCCAAAGTATGAGAGACGAAGCCTAGCCATCTTGGCCTCCAAGGAGCACTCTGGCTGCACTTCTTCCAAAACAGATCTATTGGTTTTTTTGGCAGTCCATGCACTTTCAGTATTCTCCTCCAACACCACAACTCAAGGCATTAATTCTTCTACGATCTTCCTTATTCCAATAGTATGAGGTGATTAATTAAATACAGATGAGAAAAATCTCTCCCTCCAAAAACTCAGTCTGGCCACAGTGGTAGACCCCACCCACCTAGGTAGAATTGCCAGATTTAGCTACTGAAAACAATTCTATTTACCTGGGTGTGTTCTATTTTACCTGGCAGCTCTATACCTGGGACTGACACCATTCATCATTACACTGGTATTTACAAGGTGTTTGTTGCTAAGTGTGGTTGAATTGGTTCCAACTCATAGTGACTCTGTATAGGGTTTTCAAGGAGCTGTTGGTGACTTTGAACTGCCAACCTTACGGTTAACAGTCCAGTGCTTATCCTACAGCACCATACCAGGACTCCATTTATGAAGTGGTTGTTTTTAAGTTCCTTGTAAGCCACCTGAGGGGGGTTTTCTTAGTGTCACTGGAGAATTAAAAAACAAAAAAATCTTATTATTCTTTTAAGAGTTAAAACCAATGAGATTTCCTACTTGCATGTTGCTTTTGACATTAGTGAACTGGAGATTAAAAAGAATTTGGACAATGGAAAGAAAGGAAGGAAGGTGCCAAAAGAGCGCCAAACTGGCCCCTAACGCTGAACATTTTGCTTGTAAGAAGCCCCCTGGTTTGGAGCATGTTCATACTTAAGAAACAATCCTACAAGTGTTGTTACTGGGTTTCCCAGCTCAGGGAGATATGAAATCCCAGATTAGAAGTGGGGTAGGTTTCAGGGGTGAGTCTAAATAGGTCCCCTGTTGTCTCATAAGAAAAACAATACATTTTAAACAGATTTTCCTCAGTAATGAGTTGTTGTTGTTGTTATGTGCCGTGGAGTCGGTTCCGACTCATAGTGATCCTGCACAGGGTTTCTGAGGCTGTAAATCTTTATGGGAGCAGAAAGCCTCATCTTTCTCCTACGGAACCGCTGGTAGTTTCAAACTGCAGACCTGAAGGTTAGCAGCTCGTTTCGTAACCACTACACTACTACAGCTCTTTCAGTAATAAGTAAGCCTCTGTTATTGAGAACATCCCGAGGAGACAGAGGGATAGTCATTCTAGATGGAAGAGGGGTGCTGGTTGCCCCCGACATGCCAGCGTCAGTTAACGGTGTTGATTCCAACAGCAGAGAATGATTTTGACAAAGCACCTGCCTTTTCTTGGTAATGTTTTATTTAATACATTGGAAACTATATCATTAAAAACACATGAGAAAAATCCATCGGGAGTAATTTGCTGCTTCATGTGAAAAGGCCAGTTCTCACAGAATGTATCCTAAGAAATTCAGCTGACTTTAGTGACGTAGTGGGTTACGTGTTGGGCTACTATCCACATGGCCAGCAGTTCAAATCCATCAGCTGCTCTGTGGGAGAAAGATGAGACTTCTTTGTTCTCATAAAGATGTACAGCCTTGGAAACCCTATACAGGGTCACTGTGAGGCAGAATTGATTCAATGGCAGTGGGTGGGTTGGGGGGCGGGGAGAATACATAGGGTCACCCTATCTGGGCAGAGGCTGGATGGGGAAAAGGAAGAACAACCACAAAAGCAAATGGTCATAAACGACTTTTTAGTTATACAAGTGGAATCTTGAGCTGAGGTTGCTGGCAATTCACTGGAACTCAGCCAGGACAGAGTTGCATATTTATCTAACCTATAAACCAGAACCCAAAGAAAAACTGTTCCCCAGCATTCTGACTCACGGGGACCTCACATGTTTCAGAATAGAATTATATGTTCCATAGGGTTTTCAATATCTGCAATCTTACAGAAGGCACCGAGGTAATGCAAGTGGTTTGGAATCAGCTGCTAACGTTGTTAGTGGTTCAAACCTACCCAGTGGTTGTGCAGAAGAAAGGCTTGGTGAACTGCCCTGTAAAGATTATGGTCAAGAAAACCCGATGGAGCAGTTCTACTCTGTGATACATGGAGTTGTCTTGAATCAGGGGCCAACTCAGTGGCAGCTAACAATAGATTTTACTGAAGCAAATCACAGAGCCACTGCATGGATCCCTGCAGCCACCCTTTCAGCTGGTAGTGGAGAGCTTAACCATTTGGGCCTCCCAGAGATCTCCATCCGACCTTGTGTTGTTAGCTGTGGTCAAGTCAATCCGACTCGTGGGAGTCAGAGTCAGTGTGTGCAGCGTATAGGGGCTTCCGAGGCTGCCACCTTTCAGAAGCATATCACCAGGCCTGTCTTCCAGGGTGTCTCTGAGTGGGTTCCAGCATCCCATCTTTGAGCTCGTAGTTGAGAGCTTAGACATTTGCTCACAGCAACCCTCTAGGATAGTGTTGTTAAGTGATGAAGTCAAGTCGGTTCTGACTCATCGTGACCCTGTATAGGGTTTCTAAGGAGACTTGGTAGGTTTAAACTGCCAGCCTTGAGGTTAGCAGTCTTATTTGTCCTATACCACCACACCAAGACAGAGTAAAGCTACCATATAGGGTTTCCAAGGCTGTAAATCTTTACAGAAGCAGGCTGCTGCACTTGTATCTCACTCCCATGGGTTCAAACTGCCAACCTTTCAGGAATTGGCCAAGCATTTAACAGCCCACGGCCATCCAGTCAAGTCCAATTCATAGCGACCCTGGAGGCCAGAGTAGAACTGCCCCTTATACTTTTCGAGGCTGTCAACCTTTATTAACGCAGACTGCCACATCTTTCTCCCATGGAGTGGCAAGTAGATTTGAACCACCAACCTTTCAGTTACCCCCCAGCACCATCAGGACTGCTGCACACTCCGGCGGAGCCTAGTTTAAGTCGCATTTTAAGTAATCAGCTTTTAAATGGGGTACCCTTCCGACAGGGCCCTTCTCTTCTCTGGGAAGGGTGTCTGATAGGTGGCTTTTGTATACTGCTCAGTGTAATTGAAATCCTTTAGGAATCGCTGCTCCTGCCAGTTCCTTGTAGAGAATGTCTATGAATTCATTAAGCAGGTCAAGGAAACACAGAACTTCAATTTGTCTCCTGGTTGTGGAAGAAAAAGGATTTCTGCTGAGGTACGATAGTTGACATGAGATTCTGACTAATCTTGAGAAAACAAATGCTGTGCTCCAACTATTTAACATTTCATTATCATTTTAAACAGGTTTTCTTCTACGTCTCAAAATATGGAAACCACCTCATGCAGCTAAATACTTTGATGACCAAGCTTTCTGGAAGGTAAAAAAATTTTTATTCTATCAACATCATTTTGAGTGCATCAATTGCAAAGAATATCTGGTTATATATGTGAACTTGAGGTTTATGAGATTAAAACAAAGACTATTGAGGAAGGAGCAAATCATGATGGTGTGTGTGTATGTGTGCGTGCAAAATATGATGGCACCAAATCTTCCCTTTCACAGTGTTCTCTACTCCTGCTGGAATCAATAATCCATTGTGATGAGACCACACAGAACTCAGACACCATACTTAGAGTTAGGGGGGTTTCATAGGGAAGTTAACACGTTACAATTTGGGGTCAGCGATACGCAGGGTACAGTTGTTCTAGTCAGCTGCTAATAAATGCCTACAGGACACACCACTCCACCGTAATCCTCAGCCTGAAGACACTCCAATCTAGCTCCATGGGTCAGCAAACCTAGCTGCCCTCCTTAAGTGACTGGAGGCAAGCTCCCTGCCCCTAATCACTCAGTTTTACTTGCTCTGTGGCCTGGGAAGTCCACTGCTCGGCCTCCTACTCTGGTTCTTGGTTCCGCTGACGCTGACGCTCCGCTGCCACTCCTCCAGTGTCACAACTTTCTGTCTCTGGGTTGAGGAGGTTTATTGCACAGGGACCTCATGGTCCAAAGGATGTGCTCCACTCCTGGCTCTTCGTTGATGGTAGTGAGATACCAACCCCTGTTTCTGAGATGGCTCATTTTAAGCCCATGCTAGAGTTTCAAGTTTTTACAATTACAACGAACTCTGATATCCACAGCTGAGTCATGACAGCCTGTCAACATCTTCTTCCACCTTTTCTTACCCAGACCCATCAGGGCAGAAACGTTGTTAGGTGGGAGTTACAGACTATCGCTAGAAGAGACGTTAGGTCATTCACTACTTAACTCTCTCTCTCCTCTCTCTCTCTCTCTCTCTCTCTCTCT